ACGAGATCCGTCAGTTGACATCACTGGACAGCTTTAAAAAAGCTGTCATGACGGATCTTTTTCGGCAGGCCTTCCCAGACTAATCACCCCGGCCTTGGGTTCCTTGACTCCTGCGTTCCCTCGTGGCCCCATCAGTTGTTGATGGATGAGGAACGCAGGAGAGGTTGATTGGGGTGGTGTGGTTTTTCTTTGTGGGGATATGTTATACGGGTTTTATTGTAAGCCGCTTGGATTGTCTGGCAATAAGCGGGATACAAATTATTATTATTATTATTATTATTATTATTATTGGTCTCTTCCACCCATGTGAGCCTGTGAGGCAAATGTTTTCACTTTTACTTTTTAAAGCAGAAAATTATGCTAACATTGTAGAATTGTTGTTTCCTTTTTCTAGCTGCTGCCCGCTATGAAGAAGGAGAGTCTGAAGCTGAGAGCATTACTTCCTTTATGGATGCTTCCAATCCTCTCTATCAGCTTTATGACACAGTTAGGAACTGCAGGAACAACCAAGGCCAACTTATATCAGAACCTTTTTTCCATTTGCCCTCAAAGAAGAAATATCCTGATTATTATCAGCAAATTAAGTTGCCTATTTCATTACAGCAAATCAGGTAAAGTAGCTGTAAAATTATCTCAGATTGGGAATGGTTTCAAGAATACCCTGTTTTCTTGCTGTAAATCAACTTTTCTGAAGACTCATGTTTTTATTCTGTTTTTGATAAATTTTAGATCCCTTTTTTTAACACTGTGTTATGAGTCCTAAAACATGTTACAATATTACTGAAATACCACCATAATATCATGAGAACCTCAGTTGGACAACTGTGTGGGGTTTTGGGGGCCAATTCCTCCCAACCCCCTGCGGCTATAACTGCCCCACCCAAAAGTGCATGTGTTTGGACTATAACTTCTGTTAAGACTATATCCTGGCCAAAATTCTGACCAGAAGTGACATCACTTCCAGACATTATTTTGGGATACACTACAGTCCCAAAGGAAGACATTTGGGGGTATGGGAAGGTGCTGTTGCATGGTTGTTGTTGTTGTTGGTTTTTTTATTATTATTATTTGAGTGTGTGTTCAGGGAGCAATTGATGTGATTTTCTTTTGAAAAGCAAAGGGAAATCACTAAATAAATAAATTAAAAAGGTGGGGTCCTTGGAGCCCCAGGCTGCACTTTATCTACCCACAGTTTAACTCAGGGGTAGGCAGCCTACGCCCTGGGGGCCAGATGCAGCCCCCCGAGGCTTTTGGACCGGCCTCAGGCTGGTCCTGCCGCCACTGCCACCCACTGCCATGATGATATTGATTATTGTTGTTGTTACTTGTTCTTGGGGTTTTCTTGGCAAAATCTCCACAGGGGTTTCGCCATCATGGCTTTTCTGGGGCTGAGAGTGTGCATGCATATTTATTTATTTATTTATTTATTTATTTATTTTTTGCTTCGGCCCCCCAATTGTCTGAGGGACAGCAACCTGGCCCCTGGCTCAAAAAGGTTGCCTACCCCTGGTTTAAATGATCCAAATAAGGCTAGACAGATAATTTTTTTCTTTACACACCCTTTCCTTTTAAGCTTCATTCGTGTTATCACCAGCCTTTGAAATTCCAAACATTTGATAATTACAGCACTTCCAGAATAATAAGTGTTTGCTTTTTCGGTGCTTTATCAGTAAGACCTGATAATTATTTTCACACGAAACAGTGCTAGTTGTTTAAGAATTTAAAATGAGCTCTTTGTTAAGACCTTTAATTCTAAAATATATTTCAGCTCTGCTAGTTGAAATCTGAAATATTCTATATTGTGATTTGAAGATAATCCAAATCATTGTATGACAAATTCATATATCCACTTTGTGCCCTTCTTTACCAACTCCTAGGGAATCTTCTTCTGGGAGGTTCAGTGCTTTAAAGTAAAACATTTTGGTTTACAAAATGTAGCTCTGATTACTACAGTAATGAAATAAGATTGTCTATTTTACAGAACAAAACTAAAGAATAATGAATATGAAACGCTTGACCATTTGGAATGTGATTTAAATTTGATGTTTGAAAATGCCAAACGTTACAATGTTCCACATTCAGCCATTTATAAGAGAGTATTGAAAATGCAGCAGGTTATGCAGGTAAAATTTCACACTCTCTAGCTGTGTCTCTAGCTGTTTGTTTTTGTAGGAACTAGTGTTTGGTGCATTTCTCTCTGCATTGGCACAGTGACTTGTGATATTAATTCTCAGTAAATGCACATGCTGTGTTTCCATTCTGAACAGTGTCCCTGATGCTTTCCAAACAGGAGTTCCTATGCTATGGTAGAAATCTAAAAATTTGGAGAATGAAACTAATGTTTTCTGTATTTTCTATCTGAAATCAGTCTTCTGGAAAGGAAAATGTATGCGAGACTCTGTAGATATGCAAATGAATTACTACTACTATGTTAGTAACTGCAAGCTTGTAAGACCTTTTCCAGTGGGGGCTCAGATGCAAGGTCTCAGATAAATTTGCTGTCTTAAACTTACTTGGATTTATTTAGGTGTTTCATGTCCAATATTTATTTTCCCTTTTTATACAATAACTTGAGTGGCTGAAGATGTTTCATTTATAGCTTAACATTGATACAAGATATATACTATTGCTGTATGTGTACCTTTCAGAGTGAACCTGATCTATGCAGCTGTTCAATATTCATGCATTCTGGAGACATTCAGCAGACTGAATCTGACTCCAGGGATTCTTTTCTGTTTCAGGCAAAGAAAAAGGAGCTAGCTAGAAGAGATGAAATTGAGGACGGAGACAGTATGATCTCTTCTGCTACATCTGATGCTGGAAGTTCAAAAAGAAAAAGGTATCCTCTTGCATATTGCTGTTTCTGTTTTGAAGCTGCTGATCAGTAATAATTTAATTTGATTTTTAGCAATTCTGAATCAGATGTCAGCTGTGGCATTATTGACAAGAATATTGATTAACATGCAAATCTATTATTGGCAGAAATATTAATACTCTGATCCACATGCTATGAAGTTTTAAATATGATACTAGACATCCTATTTATTTTTCTGTAGTTCCTTATTTTTACTCAGATAATGCTATTCCATGTAGCTTGAAAACCTGCAAAATCCAACTATGTTTTCCCAACTATGCTTGCTTTTTAAAGTTAAACCTTTTTAAAATATTTTTTAAAAAAATTAAAAGATTGTGCTTTCCTTTAAAATTATGAAGATTTCAGGACATAAGTGTTTATTCTTTTTTATATATTTTTGAATAAACTCAGGTTTGAAAAAATCTGTATTTTAAAAATCTACTTTTTAGAAATGTTGAAAGGGGTTGTATAGTCATTGGTGGTCATTTATTTTTATTGTTTGTTGTTGTGTGCCTCCAAGTCATTTCCGACTTATGGTGACCCTAAGGCAAATCTATTATGGGATTGTCTTGGCAATATTTGTTCACAGGTGGTTTGCCATTGCCGTTCCCTGAGGCCGAGAGCATGTGACTTGCCCAAGGTCACCCAGTGGGTTTCATGGCTGAGCTGAGAATTGAGCCCTGGTCTCCAGAGTCATAGTCCAACACCCAAACCACTACACCACACTGACTCTTGATAATTTAGCTACACTACACCGACACCAGGGTTTTAAAATATTTGTAAAAAGATAGTTCTCTTGTTAGGGATTTTGTATCTTTCATTACATGCATGTGGTAGATAGATTTTAACACTATAATATTAAATAATACTTTCTTTTGATGGTTATGTGAAAATACCACAACTGTTCTTGTGACTTTTGGTCACTGTGCTAGCTGAAGAGATGAAACTACCTCTTCACTTTGGATTCAGCAACACCGTCAGGTGAAACAGACAGTAGATAGTGAGAACAAGGGTAGAGGAAAGGAAAGGAAACACAGGATTATAGAACAGTGGTTTGTGTTTTCTTTTTCTTTTCTTCCTTTCTTTCTTTCTTTGCATGTCTTTTGTTTTTATGTTTAATTATAAAAGTTCTTTTGTGTAGCTCTATCTACTTGGTTGCTTTTGACAGTGTAGACTCCTTAATTTTGTTGCTTTACCTCCTTAACTCCTTTGAGTTTGTATTACAGTGGGCCCTCTGTATCTACAGATTTTTTTATCCACAGATTCTACTATCCATGGCTTGAAGGTATTCAAAAGAATATAAATTCCCAAAGGAAAACCTTGATTTTGCTGTTTTATATAAGATGCCATTTTACTGTGCCACTGAACATAATGGAACTTGAGCATCCATGGATTTTGGTATCTGTGGGGGGATGGGTCTTGGAACCAAACTCCAGCAAATACCAGGGGCCCATTGTATTTGAGTTCTCTGGTACACTGTTAACTAAGGGTATTCTTCATACATATATTTTGAAAGTAGGCAATATTGAGTTTATACATCAGATTGTTCAAGGTTATGCATGCAGCATTCTAAGAAAAGTGGAGTTCTGTGGTTTTTTAAAAAACTTTTCCTGATTCCTGTTTGCCCTTTCATATTTTTCACTTGATTATTCTTTCTCCTTTCCCCTGCAGTCAGGTTCTGCTTGAAAGTATAGTTTGAAATCTGATTAGGCTGGCATCCTAGCATGGCTTGCCTTCTATAGCTTTTAGTGCTCAGCTGCAGTGGCTTGAATGGCCATGAAATCAATAATTACTCTTTGAAAAACCATTGTATCTCAGCGCACTGGCAATAGCCACTGCACTTCAGAATGCAAGGGATAATAGTGCTGGTCTTCCATACAGGGATGCTGCACAGATTATGGTGGTAATTTATGTTAAAGAGTATGAAATACTCTAAGGATAGTTATATCCAGTATGCTTTTATTTGCTTAACAATAAGATATTGTCAGTGATGTTAACCATAGAGTAAAATGCTGTTTTAGATGCATATATCCAAGTTGAAGTAGTCATTTTCTCTCTTCCAATCTGACAGCAAAAAAAATGTAAAGAAACAGCGAATGAAAATTTTATATAATGTTGTTCTTGAGGCACGAGAACCCGGAACTAACCGAAGACTCTGTGAGCTATTTATGGTGAAACCTTCCAAAAAAGATTACCCAGATTATTACAAAATCATCTTGGAGCCAATGGATTTAAAAATAATAGAGCATAATATCCGCAGCGACAAATATTCTGGGGAGGAAGCTATGATAGAAGATATGAGGTTAATGTTTCGGAATGCAAGACATTATAATGAAGAAGGCTCACAGGTACATCTATAGGAGTGATGTGCTAGATCTGTATAGCTGTGTCACTTTTCTCTGAGTGGCATTTCATTAAAAGAATCATGCTATTTCCCCCTAAAAGTATGAGGTTAGCAGTTTCTTTGTAGTTGTATTTATTGTACATATTTGTCTTTTACCTTGTCTACATGTCAAAGAATAGAAGTTCATGTAGGCATTAAGACTGGGTGGGGCAATCTGTTTTCAGCAAGTTCTTACACTGATTTTTGGTGGCACTGGGACAAATCGAGATATGTAACTGTACATAATTTGCAAACTACAAATTAACAATTTTCAAATTATGTGTTGTGCAGATTTTTCTAGATAATTTCTGTGGGATGCAAAGCAGATGATGCTGTGATAATGGAATATTAGGGGCGAATAGCATGCTGCTTTATGCTTGCAGTGGCTAGTACTCCTAGACTCTTAACCTAATTTAAGAGTAGGCCCTTCATAATTAAACATGCCAGAAAACATGCCAGAAAAACTTCTAACCTTGCTTGTAGTTCTTTGATTATTACATGGAGATGCCCTTCCATTCAGAAGGGAAGGGAAAAGCAACTGAATTTTGTCCATTTAAAAGAATGGAGAGATAGATGGAACTAGGAGGTTGCAAGTAGCTTCAACCTAATGTAAAGATTTATTTTTGAATTCATAAATCTGGTGAGATTACATGCTCAGAAGTCTAAGTGTACTAACAGAGTCCCTTGCACAGAGGGATAATTTCTTCTATATGAATGAAGCTTTCCCTGCTCTTGTTACAAATATGGAAACTTTAGCTATGAACTCTAAATTTGATTTGGAAGATTAATCTTAGAATAAAAGTAAAGTTATTGTTTTTAAAAATACTTTGGTGATGAATAGGTATACAATGATGCTCATATCTTGGAGAAGATTCTTAAAGAGAAGAGGAAAGAGCTGGGACCTCCACATGAAGATGATGAAGTTGCTTCCCCTAAACTGAAATTAAGTAAGTCTTTCTTGAGAAATCCTGTGCCTGATAAATGCTCATTTGAAATAAAAAAGTGTTTATATGTGGTAGTCCAGTGGTTCTTAAACTGTGAGGTGAGACTGGAGATCGGGCACAAGAGTTGCTGAAAGGTTGTGTGAGACTTGGAGGTCATCATCTCTCCTCCTCTTTGTCTGCTTCTCAAACTTTTTCTGTCTTGGAAGGGAAGAGAAAGGCAAGGAGGGCAGTTGGAGCAGCATCCTCTGCCTGAAGGAGGAAGACATGGAACAGGAGAGTGGGGAAGTTCACTGGATCATGGTCTCTGGTGGGACCCATCCTGAGCTGCCCAGGTTCTTGGGATGAGGCATTGCTGCAGCCTCAACCAGTGTTCCTGCTTAGGCTAGCATGTCCTAGGCACACAGTGGCCAAAGGAGAGCCAACATCTACAATGGCCCCTGGGGTGGAGAGGCTGGCAGCATCTTTAGCTTGGAGTTGCTGCTGTCACTTACTTCTGTCACTTACTTCTGGCTGTACCATCTCAGAGGCAGAGGAGAAGTGGCCTCATTGGTTCTGCTCACAAATGAATGGCACGCTAGACCAGCGTCTGTGCCCACCACGGCGTACACCACCACCTCCAACCTAACCCTAATGCTATATTACATTGAATGGGGCATAGTGTCCACATGTAGCTGTAAAGGGAGTCACAAGGGTAAAATGTTTGAGAATCACTGTGGTAGTTTTATTTGTTTGCAGTGCTTTAATGAAATCTCAAGACAGAAAGGTTCTTCTTTGTGGTCTCTGTGCCTCACACAATAGGGCTCAGAAACTCCATTCGGAAAGTTGAAAAGCTGAGCAGATTGGTGGGAAGCCTCACCCACTCCCATGTACTGAGCATGCCCAATCTCGCCAGTCTAGCTCCACCTTCAGTTCTCTTTCATCCACCGCAAGAGAAGTTGCTTTGAGATTGCTCTCTCACTGAGTTCTTCTTGTGTACTGTTAGACTGCTATTTTTACATTTTTGTGTGTTTATCTTCTTATTTTTTCTTGTATTTTTTCACGAGTTGCCCTTTTCTCAGAGCTTAGAAGTGGTGTTTTTTGTGGGGGTTTTCCCGACCAGCTGGGCACTCATGTTTTGGGCCTCTTCTGGCCTCCACTTCTCTTTCTAAGCTCTGTGTGTCCTGTAAAAGGAAAGTCACCCTCACAGATGGACATTCTAAATGCCTTTTTTGTTTGGGCAAGGGCCATATTTCGGACCATTGCTCTGTTTGTCACTCCTTTACCACTCAAACGCTCTGGAATAGAGCTCAACACTTAAATTTTTTTTGTTAGGAATGCTGTCTCTCTCAGTCACTCAGAAATCTACTTCCCATTAAGATCCCTTGGTCTTGCTTCCAATCTCAAAGTTTCCTCGAATTCCCAAGATTTCAAAGAAACCAGAGACCTTTACATCATTTTTAGTATCGACAGCTATTACTGTGTCGACTTCAACACCATCATTCACTACCATGTCGACCTTAACATTGACATTCTCAGTATCGACTGGCTCAAGGTCAGCTGTTACCATGAGCCTTCAAATCTCTCCTGAGACCTCTACTGGCCAGACACTGGCACCGCAAGAGGTTCCCTCCATTTCTCAAGACAAACACTCACTACATCGGTGTTGACACTCATTCCCGCAGTCATCCCGATTATATCCTCCATACCTGTTCCATCAATTATACCTGTTCCTACCACCACACAGGTTGTCCAGTTTGTTACTCCAGCTATGCCTCAACAGTCTACAGAGGAGTCTGCTTATTATACTGAGATCTCATCCACCTCTGCCTCCCCCTTGATTGAGTCACCTCAAGAGAAAGTGGAGGATACTGGACGTCAGTCACCAACCAAGGATATCCAGCTCTTCTCAGATGTATTCAGACAGATGGCAAAGGCACACAGCCTCCAAGTAGTCAGTCCTCCAAAACCAACCCGCGACCTGGTCTTCCAGATTGTGGATGTCAAAGTGGTATCCCCAGCTGTATAACCCTTCCTTGTCTCCCTCCCTGATGTAATGCATCTTTCCTGGACCAAACCTGCTTCTGTTCCACCTGCTTCTAAACAGCTTGTACTCTACAAAGTACAGCCTGATATGGCTCCTTACCTCTTCACACATCCAACACCTATCTCCTTAATTGTTGAATCTACCTCTAAATCCTCAGGCAAGACCCACTCTGCTCCTGTAGACAAAGAAGGTCGCCATTTGGATATTTGTGGGAGACGTTTCTATTCAGCAGCCCTTCACGACAGACAGTCCAAGAATCTGACTCTTCCTCAGGATGTGCAGGCCTCACTCCATTGGTGGCTGGTACCCAAGAACATCCTCCGAGGAATGCCCCTAGAGCCTTCCAGAATAATCACCACAGATGCTTCCATGATGGGCTG